GTTGCCATTTTCCGTGCCAGTATTTCCATGTCTTTCTGATTTGCACCGCGTGGACCTTTTCGGAGCCGGGCTTCTCCCGTCTTAACTTCTTCAGGATCTGTCAAGACCTCTTCTTGCGTGTCGTGGACGCTGGAGCGCCTTGTCTTTCCACGGCCTGGGGAATTCCTTAGGCGTTCGGCATAATCGGATGTGGCGGTTCCTATGGCTGAGGCGAAGCCTGACACGGCGGCTACGGCGCCAACAAGAGGGTATTCGGCTCCTTCATCCACGTACCAGTGTCTATGCCGGAGTAGCTTGAGGTTCTGGGACTGAAGGAGTCCAGCATCTATGAGACAACCGACGGCGAAGCCACTAAGATGCGCTCCTGTCTTGCGGTCAAGCCAGCTCGCCAGCCTATCAGGACAAATATCGCAACGAAGGCTGTCAATGTCAAGACGTTCCTGGATATCCTGCGCTGTACCACCAGCTCCATCCTCTTCACCGATTTGAATAGCCATGTCCTTGGCGACTTCTTGCACATCCGGTTTGAGAGCGAACTTGATACTCTCTGCCAGTATTTCCGCTGTCAATTCCTTGTAGGGAACTGATACGGGTCCTGCGCCGGCGCGAGCCATCATCTGACCCCAGAAAGGCTGGTCTCCGAAGAAGGGAACGATAACAGTCGGACGTCCGGCCGCTATACCGGCAGCGGTTGTCCCGGCGCCACCGTGGTGAACAACAGCTGATACTCGTTGGAATAGCCAGTCGTGCGGGCAATTTCCGATGAGATAGACGTTGTCGGGGACTTCGCCAACTCCGACGCCGCCCCATCCTTTTGACACGATCGCCCGAACCCCCGCGAGCTCGACTGCCTTCAAGATCATATTCGTGAGCGCTTGCGGATCCTTAACAACGATCGATCCGAAACCGATGTAAATTGGTGGAGGCCCTGCTTCGAGAAAGTCCAGGAGATCTTTCGGAGGCGTGTAAGAGCTTGCGAGCGGTAGAAAGGAAAAGCCGGTAATGTTTAGGTGTTCGTCCCAATCGGAAGGTTTGGGAATTAGTGTTTGTGACCAGAGATAACTGTATGGAATGCGAAGTCGAGAGAGAAGCTGGAATCCCCACATTGGACTGATGGGATCAAGGTGAAGCGTTTGACGGCGGAATTTGTTGATGAGGTCGCCCAAGCTGGAACTGTCAGTCAATGGCTCGAATGGAGGTCAAGATACTTACCCTTGCCATGTTAGAAGCTCCATCATCATGAAAGAGAGGTAGTTGGCGACCTTTGCGTCGGCATCTCCATAGCTCATAGCAGCCAGAGGATGGGGGAAAGCTTTGGTGGGTGACCATGGCATTGTGAATACCATGTGCAATGGAATATTGAGCTTTTGAGCGCAGTGAATATGACCCATCGATGGAGGATTAGCGATGATAACATCCGCAAGGAATAGATCATCCACATTTTCCACGTTTGCAGCTTTGATAGGGTCTCCCATTCCATCGCCTGCCTCGATACAACTCCTCCAAGTACCAGAGATGATCTCCATCATTTCCTTTCGTCTTTTCCCAACATCGCCCTCCTTGAGACTGTCCTTATTCGGTAATAATCCAGGGTTCTTCACCATATACGCCATGAGAGCTTCGGGGTCTCCGCCGATATTAAAGAACTCAACACCTTGCGCCTCCACAAACTCCTTGAAGCTAGCATGCGTGCATATTCGTACTCGATGACCGTAGGGAGGTTTCATCAAAAGTTGCGCGATCGGAATAAACGGCTGAACATCGCCTCGAGAACCCACGATATGGATCGCAATATTTAGTCGCGGACCTTCGGCTGGCTTCTCTACACCCGGGAGGAAAGCAACGGTGCTTGTTCGACGCGGTTTCGACGGCTTCGGTGGTAGTAAATGCTCTGAATCTGCTCCATCACCCGCGAACGTCTCTTTCAGGTGTTCGCACCATTGGGCCAGCGCTTGGGGAGTGTCGTGGAATTGAACTTGGACGCGACCGTCGTCGATGACATTACTCGAAGGGCCATTGTCGGTATCACCGTCGTCTATCGCGATGTGGCCGAGTCCATGGGACTTGATGCGATTGAGGGCCATCTTTGTACGCCTCTCGTGTGTCTAAGGGGCAGGATTGACGCGACAGAGAAAGTTCAAACTTCAAAAGGTCAATTGAAGGAATACAGGCCGAGGTACGCACACTCGTTATCGTTTAGGCCAAAGACGTTGAGATCGACATTCCATTGCGCTTGAAGTCATTTGTGGGGTTCAGGTAAGATTTAAATGTTTGATACGACGGGAGAGCAAACGTTAGCACGATGCAATGTCAGACGGCAGAGGAGATTGACTGGTCAGGGATGGTTTAGGCTGGTCTAGACCAAACTCTGTTCCTTTTGCATTGACTTTGAATAGTGATCAACTGCCTGCCTCATTAGTAGGTAGTTTAGTTGAATTAGGTCTTCCAGAGGTGCCGAGGTGCTGATAAGAATAACTAAGAGGTCTCACACTGACTCAGATTATACCGCTAAGAACCTGGTAAAAATCACATGAATAACTGACTCCGGCGATCCGAATAAAATCGTTTTTAATCATTTTGTCTCTCTCTTACGTCATTATAGAGCTGTTTCCGTACCTCCCGGGCCTATCCACGGCTTCTAGATGCCGAGTCGCATTTGATCATCTCAAACAATTTTTGAGCCCCTGTTAATTCTCTGCATTAAAGTTCCCTCCAATCCTCTTCTGTATCTCAGCGACATTAGCATGACCCCGGCCCTTATAGACTTCGTAGGCCAGCCTATGAGCGTGTATCCCTTGGGAGAACAACGCCCGTTTATCGTTCCATCCCGTCAAGGACCGCAGCTTTTTACTTCCTACCCATTGACTGAAGCTGAAGACGAAATGCAGTCCTGGAGGAAATGATGGCTCTGCCTCAGAAGCTGAGACGAACTGAACCCCTTTCTCAAAGCCGTACTCTTTGGCTACAGCTCCTGCAACCTCCTCGAGTGTCTCGTAACGATAGCCAGACACATTGAAGGATTGGCCACCTACAGCTCGTCGATCACCAAGTTCCGCAAGAGAAACATAGGCCCCCCGCAGTCATCAACATGAGTTGCGTGCATGATGCTGTTGGGATCCCCAGGAACCCGAAGAACTTCTGATCCTTTTTCTCGCTGATCAGCCGCATAGTTAAATATAGCGCCGTAGTAGCTGTTTGAATATCCAAAGACGCATGTTGGTCTGATGACTGCCGCATCGAAGAGGTCCGTGTAGTCGAAGACCTTGGCAGAGTTTGTCGTACGCTCCTTCAACATCTCTGGTCCATTCAATGGCGACTCTTCAGTATGAGGCGCAAGGCCAGGTGTACCGTGGAGACCAGTCATGCCATAGTCCTTGCATCCAGACGACCAGAGAACTAGAGGCCGAACTCCATTCTCGTTGCTCCTCTCAGCCAGTTTCCTGACAAAAGCCATAACCTCTTCGAAGTGTGCAGCATAGCCTGGGATCTTTTCCGTGCAGCTGACTATTGTATCGAAAGTGTTGACCTCTTGGGAAAGAGTTTCCAGGAAACTGAGATCGGTGAAAGCTCCCACCACCGGAATAATTTCAGAAAGTGCAAGTTCCTCTCGAGCTTGCGGGTTTCGAATGAGACCATAGGTATTCCAGCCTGCTCTAACAAAGGCTCGACAAACTGCTGAACCTATATATCCATTGGCTCCAGTAACAAGTACGCTGCGTTGTCTGTTTTCGGTCATGATGGTGTTGATCGTATAACATGAGAAATGAAGAGTTGAGATTCACCCGCCATCCTGTCAAGCAATTCGAGATTAAATATCTTTTCAACGATGATCAAGTCCACCAACAACGTTGAAGATTATGCCAGTTGAAGGATGCATAACGTTACGATAACGTTAAACTAACGTTAACCACCTGGTTTCGTGGTTACAATGTCTTCTGTTGGTTTTATGGAGGTTTTATGGTCGAAATGAGAGCCTGCTGTACTACTGTCAAGACGGCTGTTCTCACCCAGATCACCATCTTTCCGGCTTCGTTTGATCAGAGTATTTATATAGCTTACTATCAACAGATTCAATTCGAGTGATCTCATGTGAGTAGATGGCATGTAGGTAAAAAAGGTGGGACAGGCGGGTCACGAGTCTCTCCTCACAATGACCTTGGCGACAGTCACAGCCAAAGGCCCATGTTCGTGACAGCTTCAGAACGAGTAGACGCAAAAAGTAGAATACGGCCAGTAATCGGTTCAGTTGATACAGCTGATCTGGGCATGCCGCAGATGTCAAAAAGGAAGTCGACAAAAACATACAACAGCGGGGATTCGCTGGTCGTCACCGACCCAACTACTAATCCGCCGGTTAGTGGCTTGACTATGGGAGAGCGGACGGGATCCCGTATTTTCCACTACCTTTGGTCGTATGTGCCTATTGACTAATCAATCCAGTACATAACCATGGCCGTCATAGCTCAACAGCTCGTATGTCTGGCAAGCAGAGTCACTCTCCCATGCCACAGTGACATGGAGATAACCGAGGTACACCTCAAATAGCAGTCTTGGGCTGCTCGCTATATGTCCCTGGTTTGGTATCTGCAGAATTGTCACTGCAAGTTCTGTACGGCCGCAGTGTTGTTAGGTGATACAGTGTCAAGTCGAGGTGGTTCTTCAGTTGAGACAAAAGATGGGGACGCAGGGCTGAAAGCAGATCGCTTTCGATGGTGAAGTCGATCATGTTGAATCGGAGACAAAACGTGTCTATGTTCTGTATATTCTATGCGCATCTATTTCTTGATGGAAGCGAATGCCCGGCTGATGGCAAGTCCAGTCGCAGGATAAGCCATGATCTTGTCATGAACTCCATACTTCAAAATCTCGAGTCTAATATTGCCCTTTCTGGTAGGCCAGACGGTAATTGAACCCCCTTCTCCGCGGCCTTTCTCGACGCTGCTTATCCTGCTGAGGAGCGCGCCCTCATTCTCGGACAAGTCTTTGGCACCCTCTGCGACACGGATAGCTTCTCTATAGAGCTTGATGGAATGGTCCATGGGGATATCTGTGTCATCTTCGGCATGCAGAAGGGTGATGTCGTACCTTTCAGCACCCTTGACAAACTCCCCCAGCCTGTACATGTTGTCCCAAGTACCGGAAAGCTGTCGGGCGAAGAATGCGAATAGCGGTTTCACCTTTGCTACTGGTGAAAGCACTGGGATGAAGCCACCGATGCGATACGTGGCCGTCAATTGGGGGATGTCTGCAAACGTTGCTGTAACAACCAGTCCAGCAAAATGAACGGAGGGTTCCCTGTGAGCGAGCTCATTGACGAGAGCAATGGCTACTGCTGAGCCCAGACTTTGGCCGAAGATAACAATGTGCTCAGGAGGGATGCCTGCAGTATGAACAGCCCAGTTGGCAACAGTAACCGCGTCTGTGATGATTCCATCTTCACTCGGTGAACCAGTGGACTCTCCATATCCGCGGTAGTCAAATGTCAAAACGTGGGTGTTGACAGGGTCGGCTGAGTAGAGGGAGCGGTAGCTATCAGGGCGCCAACCACTTGCCATAGTCCCGCTGGTGCCATGGAAGTAAAGAACCAAGCGAGCATTTGGGTTCTCCTTCAATAGACGGAAGTTTAAGGTATCTTCGAATTTCTCAACCAATCCACCATCTGACCCTTGAGCCAACAACTCTTCCTGGTGCGACTCATATGTCGCTAAAGGGAGTACATGCCATGTGTGTAGCTTGACTCCATCTGGTGTAGAGATGTAGAAGGGTGTAACTTGATGATGAGCGAATCCAAATTGTTCTGGCGTGTTTAGATCCTTGAACCATGTCAAAGTGACTTTATGAAGGTAAATTGCGTGAGCTTGTAGTGAGGGTGCAACAACCAACGCTCCCAAGATACTGAAATAGAGAATGGCGGGCAGGCCCAAAGTCAGACCAAACCTCAGCATCGTCGGCCGCAGGGCAGAGAACGCGACCATATTGATACGGTGTAGGCGAGAAAATTCGAAGGTCTCTATTGAAGCGTTGAGATCCAACCAAGTCAAGAAATACTAGAGTTCGGCCATACCAGGGTGGAGTTGCAGGGCTCGCTAATCTGTGATGCAACGCGTCAATGTGACAGGGAGTTTAAGTTGTGTGCTTCACGTTGCAGTGCTCACACGTGCAAAACATCTTCGTATAGCTCTTGGAACTACGGCTCAAACAGATGTGTCTAATAGACTATTCCGCCTGAAGAAGCTCAAGGACATCGTCACTGCAGGTTCAAAAATTTGGCGATGGAGAGTACCTACGACACCTCTGACCCCAATCAGAAACAGGGCGATTCTATCGCTTGGTACGTTGTGCCTCGTGATTGTCGGGGCGATGAAGTTGGGGTGATGGAGGACCCAGAACGAGACCCAGGAGAAATTGTTTCTACAACTGAGCCTAACTCCCAAAAGCTCGAGCCGACTGTCACTGAGGTGGAGGCTGATAATGTCATTACTGAATGGGTCTCAAGTCTCTACATGACCAGATACTGGCCCCTTCTCTGCCTCTTGGGGGCATCCTTCGGAGCCATTCATCTAGTATCCTGGACCTCCTCTTTCCCATCAGAGGCAGAGCGTTGGCTATGGCGAATCAGCGCACTCGTTTCAGTCATCACATCCGTTATCTGTATGCAGTTCAGGAAGATGAGTCTAACATGGGATGGGCCATTGACCATTATCAAAGTTGGAAGCCCACTGCTTTATCTTGTGACACGGGTTGTTATGGCAGTGGAAGCGTTTGTAGGCTTGCGAGCTATGGAGCCGGCGACTTACGATAATTACGCACTGACAAACTATTGGTTTCACTTGTTATGATGAGGTTGTGCATGAGGCTGCGATAGGCATATAGAGCAATGTGTAACTTATTTCCGACGAATACGGAAAGCTTGAGACGTGCTTATCTTGCGACACCATTCATGCGCCATTCCTGTTTGTCTTTGAACCGTATCGTCGGTCTCAAGTTGAAGCCACAAGGGGCAGCTATTGGATACGATCTCAACGTGATCAAGTGAACACTGTGGCCTAGTCAGTGAATTAGTCACTTGCTTCGGTCAAGCTGAAGGAGTCAGCGAGTCTGGCTTCGGCCTCCATGTCCAAGATGCTGGTCTTGTTGTGATCTACACTCTCTACGACATGGGCTATCACGCATAGTGTCTTATTCAGGACTCCACGTCCATTCATCAAGTGTCTTACTCATAGGTATCTCATGCTACCACTAGCCATAATATCATCCCTAGTACAACACTCTCCTTTACCCCGAATCAACTGTGACTCAGCGGCTCGCACACCGTGTCCTTCGCTCGAGTGTCATGCTCGCCCAAAATACATCAAGTAAACGTCAAAGGCTATCCTCCTGCAGCAACCCTGTTAAAAATTCCACCGAAACTGCAACGCGACCTTCCGAACGCCTAAAATGAGTTTTTCCTCGCCGATGGTGCTTTCAATACTTTGGCACGGGTGGTCTCCTGGGGCTGATGTATGTAGTTCCGTCAAGCACGCCCATCAGATGGGCTGCATAGCCATGACATTAATCCCATTCTTGACACAAGTTATCGCCGTCGAACGTGCTCATCGTTTTGCGATGTGGGCACCTAGTCCGTGGCTCCATCTTTTGCTGTGTTACTCTTTCGGCGCTGGTGCGGCAGCGGCATCGCGACAACGCTGTTCTAGATGTTGGTGCGATCACCCAGCGGCGCAGGCGTTTCCTTCAGAGTCTGAGTTGAGGTGGGCAAGTCGAGAACTTGGGACTCGGGTACAGGGGTAGCGGCATCTGGAGTTTGAGTTTCTTCACTGTTCTCGTCGTCGTTGCCTTCGCCATTGTCCTCGCCATTGCTCTCACCATTGCTCTCGCCAGTACCTTCTCCAGTACCCTCACCCTCCATCATGGCAGCCAATCGAGCTGCACGGCCTTCCTTCTTGCGGGGTACGGGAGCTATAAAGTCAGCACATCAGTCAGAATAGTCGAGTAGTCTGTGTCACTTACCTCGTCCATTCTCCTGGACGTAAAACCGTCTGAGCAGAGCGACAGCCTCATCACGACCCCATCCACCCTCAATCTCGTAACCAGATTCGAGGTTTCCACCGTCACCTCCACCTGGAGGATACGAGACGCCCAGCGTGCCACTTCCGTCGGGAAGCTGCGCAGGCTTTGGTGTTGGGTGTGCGCTGGCAGTCTGGCCATCGGCACTGACAGGAAGTGAGTTTGCATGAATACTGAAGACACCACCTGTTCCGCCAAACTTGTCGTTGACTGCGCCGAAATAGACCTTCTTGATGCCGAGTTGTCGCAAGAGAGAAGCACACATGACGCACGGCTCTACAGTGACGTACAAAATGCTCTCTCGAATGATGGATCTATCAACTCGCGCATCAGGATGGCACTTCTGTCCATAAGGGTAGAGGTGGCCCTTGGATCCATCCTCGTTGCCCTCATCGACGGGTCCTGATTCGACAGAAGATGTATCAGAAGCTCCGGGTGATTGATTCTCAGGCATGGGCTTCAGGTAGGTTGTCCTTGGTCCATTCTTGGGGGGTAAGATAGTAAAGCGCCGAGGGCCATGAACTCGGCATGACGAGTGCCATTTCGAGTGACGTTGGTTGCATTCATGCCTCGAGCAATAACCTTTCCATCGTGAACGAGAACACAGCCCACAGGTGTCTCGTTGGTTCTGAGAGCGAGTCGCGCCTAGGACTGTGAGTTAGTCCAAGGTTCACGCTCATGGGGAATGTATAGTCTTGGTAGAGGGCGGGAAACGGCTTGCCATCTGCAAGTGTGTTGATAGACTTACCATGTCAAGAGCCTCTTCGGTGAACTTCATGTGGATCGCTCGCTCAGCTATGACAGCGGGATCTGTGTAGATGGGGGCAGCAGGTACAGCTTCAACGGCTGGAGCTGCATCCACGGCAGCAACAGCAGGGGCAGTGGAAACGACAGGCTTAGGAGAAGTCGCGACGGCCTTATCCTCTCCGATGTTTAGACGAGAGAGCGAGTCTGACAGCTGAGCCGGATTGGGCGGTTGGTTTTCCTTGTCTGCAATCCCCTGGGGGACGCGCTTCTGAGGCGACACCATATCGGAGGTAGTTGTAGATGTTTCAGCAGTAGTGAGGGCGTGTGGTTGTTGGCGATTATCAGTTGGGGCAGATGTATCCTGATGTTTTGTAGATGAAGAATCTGTTATGCTGTTGTTATTCTCCCTCTGAATATTGTGGTCGTTGCTGGATTTGCCCTTGCCCGTTTGATCAGTGTCACTGGCACTGTCAGTCTCGCCTGGAAGCACCCGCCCAAAAAGTCGACGTAAGGCCTTTGCACCTGCCGCTTTGGCCGGCGAAAGACCAAGTGACTTGAAAACTCCCATATTTGTCTTTGTCTCCTTCTTCAATCTCTGAATACCTTCACTCACTCCCTCCCTCACTCACTCACAATCCCCCAGGCTTCAATCCTGCTCTTTGCTTCTCAGTAACGAGTCTCTTCACCTTCGTACCCTCGTTATAAATACTCCTTTCACTTGTATCCAAAAGCTTCCTTCTTTTTCCAATGTTTATTGTTTGCGTCCTCGACCCTCGACCTTTGTTCCTCCTTCTTGAACCATAGGTAGACACCAAATGCCGTCTCAAAACCGAGTAACACAAGCCTTTGTGTATTCGCAATTCGGGCAATGGATAACAATAATCCGGTAAGCTTAATCAGAGCTCACACAAGACTTAACAAGAAAGTTCAAAGAGACGACCAAAAGTTGGCTGTCACCCTAAACTCATCGCCAGATGCAATCACTAGATTACAGACAATAGATGGTATAGATGCCGCTGAACAAAAAAGGTGAAGGTATCGTCGTGCTGTGTCTTCCTATGGCCCCAGACATAAATTAATGACAGACAAAAGTAGTAAGGCTCCCCTTTTGGCCCGAAATAGTTGATCAAAGTTCCCCTAACCTTAAAAGTAAGAGAGAGAGTTCAAGATACTCATGTCCTGCTTCAATCTGAGAGAAGATTTCATACTCGCTTTGTCGCGCTAATCCGTGTTTGAGCCACCGTCTAAAACAGATGACCCGCTTTCAAGATCGCTCATCAAATCACGGCTCCTCAGGGTTTACGGAACACAGATTTAGAATACGGTGAGGCCATCCGTCACAAACAAGCAGGACAAACTTTGTACATTGCTCATCTCATTAATCACCAGGCAACATATACTAGATCACTCGGCGGGACACAGATTTAAATATTATACGGCCTTGGAGGCCAGTTCAATTGATTTTGGGCTCGATGCTCGCTCTATAGCAACAGCCATTCCCTGTCAAGACCAGCGCAACTGCGCGGCCATTCACTCCCAATGCTAAATGCAATAAATAAAACAAATAAAAAAGGGTGCAAGCTCTATCATGGCTCTAGCCAAAAGCCTGTATACCAACTCCATTCATTCCACCTGGTGCGCAACAAGGATTCATCGCTACACAGCGATGAGACTTCTGTTCATCGAGACCATTCGACCGACTGACGTCTTGCCGCTTCGTGTCGTGCTCTGCAACCTGCAGATCTTCTCTCGAATGCTGGGCATGATACCTTTGACCTTTCGCTGACTGGGTGCAGCGGACTGTGTCTTTTGCTCCCAAGATTTGTCCTGGAGGACAAATTGCTGAGAGGCATAGGACCAAACGGTCGAGGCGATCAACATCGCAGCAATGGATGCGAGTGCTCCCATGCTTGACTGGTCAGATTGAGTTTCCAGGCCAATCGTTTGATGAGCTGGCACAACGGGCGCGGGAGAACGTTGGGATATATCTTCCGCCACATTGTGAATCTCGGCATCTTGAGAAGTTGGTTGATGTAGGTCGCCTTGGGCATCGACACGTTGAAGAACTGCTTGGGCGGTCACAGTGTGATTCTCGGATGTTCGACAATCCGATGACTCTTCTGTGTCTTCCGTCACGATTGGTTGATAGCTTGATTGTGCTATCGTCTCCGTAGACTGCGTGTCCAGAGTCGTGGTAGTAGTGGCGGTTGTAGTGGTGGTAGTTGTCTCGAGTGGTCGAGACTCTGGTTGTGCTGTTATTACTCCGCGGCCCTCGATAATATCGCGACTAATTGTCACCTTCTCCGAAGTTAGTTGCCGTTCCATCATAAGCGGGATAATAAGTGAGACACGTACGTTACTATTCGTAGATAGCTGAGAGTCCACAGAGGACAGCGGTTCAGACACAGAGACCTGCGCGTCGCGGTCTGACCATGAGTTCGCGCCCGAGCTCAGAAGATCCGAGCCGAGACTAGACTCTGGTGTACTGGAGTAATACTCCAGGCCAGCTCCAGGGTCGCGATAGACGTCTTCGCGGCCGAGCTGGCCATGGGTAGAGAGTTGTTGAGGTGCGGATGATGAGGCCACAGAAAGTGATCCAAACAGATCACCATTCAGATCGCCGCCGCCAAGTTCGCCGCCACTACTATAGAAGCCACTCGAGGACTCGTTTGGCGGTAGTGGGTTCGGTGCTGGTGACCTAGGCTGACTAATAGACTGCTTGGAAACTTCAATCGGGACCATACGCTCATCTTCCGAGAAGATTGATGCAGGAGAGTACAGGTTGAAGTCCACATAGTCGTGATTGGCTTCGGTCTGGTTGAATGGCATATAAGCCGCAAGATCGGTAAGTCCTGCTAGGTCCGCATCGCCTGGACGGCGACGAAGTAAGTCTTGGTCTGTCGTGGGGGTAACAGGCTTCGTAGAGTCCTCAGAGAGGAAGGAGGAGGATCCAGGAGAGAAGTAGCCCTCTGGGTCGTTGAAGAAGTCATAGTTGTCATCCTCAGCAGGGAACTGAACGAATTGCTCCCATGGCTCAACTCCCTGTTCTGTAGGAGCAGCAAGGTTGTCGAGGTCGACTGAGAAGTCTTGCTGGGGGAATGTCAATTGCGTAAAGGCATCTTGAGCAATAACAGGAGTAACCTTGGGTTCTGGAGCTACTGTCTTCGTCTTCTTAGTCACCTTGGCAGGCTGAGCCGCTGTGCTGGAAACTCCACGCTTCTTGTGGCTAGGATCGCAGCGAATCTTCTTCTTCTTGCAGCTGTCGCAAGCCTTGATGATTCGCATGAGATGAGCGTGATCTCGCTGCTCCTTTGTCTTGGATCCTCGGGAAGCAGAGTTGGTCACATCACGTCCATCCTTGGTCATGATCTTCATGCCGGGGAGATTCGAGAAATCGGTGGCCTGGGGGCTGGAGGTCGACTTGGGAGATGAGCGGCGAGAAGAGCTTGAGGTGTTCACGTTACTCCAGTCCCAGTTGGAGGTGACGGGGCTAGTGTTGAAAGAGGATCCATAACCAGAGTCCTGAAGAGGGCTGGCAGTAGCAGGAGAGTCGGCAGCAGAAAGCGAGTAGATAGGGTAGAACTTGAAAGTCTGCCCCGTCAGGTGAGCATACTCAAAGTAGTCGAGAGCAATGCTGGCACGCTTCTCCTGATTGGAGGCGGGTCCAGGCATGTAAGCGTTGATCATCTCATCGAGCTCACGGGTGCCGATAGCAGGGAAGAACTGGAGCTGGGCACCAAGAGTAGGCTGGAAAACCGAGAATCCTTGAGGAAGAGTGTTGGAGTTGGACGCCATCGTAAGCTCAAAATTTCCGTTCAGGTTAACTTGAAAAGACAGAATTTTGAAGACGGCAACAAGGCGTTGAGATTGCAGTGTACTCTCCAAATCCAATATCCCCGGAGAGCTTTGGTAGGTCACGTCAGTTGGCTAGATACGACTCTGTTAGTCGATCGATGCATAAGTGTGACAGGTTCGGATAGTTGCTTACTCCGACCTGCTTACTCTCACGTGAAGCGTTTGGGTACTTGTCAATGAGTCAAACGAGAGACTATGGTGTTTTGAGATCGCTCGAAATGGGACGTGCAAGTGAGAAACAGGAAGACTGCGCCAAGAGAGATGCGTAGAGTCTTGTTTCGTTGACGCGTATCAGATTGAACTGAAGGGGGGTAGAGAGACAGGCAAAGCCTTGAAGTACCGAACTTGTCGCCAGTTTCGGTGTTAGTTTAGCGTGCGTTGTGTTTAGTGTCAATACTGTAGAGGACTATTGCGATACAAGATATTATCTTGATCGAATAATCGAATTAGTCGTGATAGTAACGAGAAAGAGGAAGTGAAGGAGGAAACGCCTGAGGCCACGGGGGAGGGCGTCGTCGAAGTATTTCACTGTCTGTTTGAAGCCGCAAGTGCCCGGGCGGAAGCATGGCGCAGCACTCCAAGGGAAGGTCAGAGTGGAGGAGATTGAGTCTTTCGGCGTGCTCGAAAAGGTAAAGCGTGACAAGGCAGAGTGACACCCAACCACCAATCAGATTTCTGAACTTTTGTAAGATCCGCCCCAAGAAATATGCCTATTGGTCACCTTGACCCACCATCTGCACCATCAGAGCTAAGACTTCGGCGAGAGAAAAGCATTCTTGTTGGTCAATGCTTTCAAGCCCGCATACGAGGATGACTCAACTTCCGCAACCCCAGATTTGAAACTCGTTCGACTCGACTTGACCCCATATGTTAGTTACACTACGGTTAAGTCGGAGGCCGTAGCATGGCTCAGCAATTGTTGGTTAACAAATAACTCGTTTCAATGGTCTCAAGGATCATCGATCAACTGGGGAAACGCCGCATCATCATATCATTATTGTGCGAACTATTGGAAACTCTTCAGCTATGACTCTTCATTCTTCATACCATGTAACTTTGTCTCGTCTCACACCGCGTGGGCATTCTCCTATGAGAAGATAAAGGCCAAAAAGCAAAGGCAAAACTTAGAGTGAGAACTCTAATCGTGTACTCTCGTCAAAATTTGAAGTGTAAAAACCTCAAGGCAGATCGGAGCCCGGTCTTGGCATGGCATAACTCCTGGTAGCATCGTTGGCTCCGTTTTGAACGCCAAGTGAGTTGGTTGATGAGAGACAACAAGACGGGGCCCAGTAGCCTCTTATATATTCCAGTGGAACCAGCACCATTGTGCCCGACCTTGGTTATCTGGGCATCAAGTAAGCAGACGCAGCACTTCCCAGGATCCACACCTTGTCCATCCTTTAGTTCACGACACCAGAACCCAAATATTGGCCGCGTGAACCATGCCGAGAAACAAAACAAGGGGTACTGCGGGGGGAGACACCATCCCAAAGTTCGACTCATTCTGATTATGTTCGCCAAACGTCCGAATAGGAAATCTAACACGATAGACGCCAGTACAGGACCACCTTGACGCCTGTAGCCCATTCCCTTTCCCGAACGCCGTTCCCCAACATGCTGATAAATCACCAAAACCTTAACAACAAGGCGCCGAGATGACTCTATCGGCGACGCGTAGATACTTTACGTAGATCCACTGCTCTTGCTTGCTCGCTATACTCCTGTAGCACAACTGAGGCACTGCAAGTTTCCATTCGCTCACAAAAGAACGTTCCGGTGATTCCACAACAGGGCGTGGCTGCAAAGACTGAATGGACTGATCGGATAGATGTGCTTGGAGCTTGCCGTATCATCCAGTGTTCTTGTTGGACGGCAGTTTCTGTACACAGCCATACTGTTGGCGAGGAACTGGGATGAGCTGGCCAAGGGCGGAACGCATCGGACAGCAGAAGTATTAGTCGTGTGATTTCGTGGCCGACCAACATCCCTGGTTACTCAAACACAACAAACCCTGATCCAGAGAATTGAGTCGTTCAGAGCGGCTCCTTGTTCCTCGACAGGTTTAGGGCTAGTCAGTAGCCTCCCAATTATCAAACTCCTTCATTTCGTGAGATTTAGCGAATCATCTTGAACATCGATGAGAACTGTCAGGGATAGCCATGGAAGCCCTCACATGAGGAGCTCCTATCCAGTGCGTCCGTTGTTGCTCAAGAGAATAAGGGTAAGACTGGATGTTGACAGCTCTGATGCGAAGGCAATGTCAGTCCGAATTACCGACGTAGGGGCCTACGTCAAAGGCAGAAATGCCAAAAGTATTCGCAAGTAGTATCGGTAGAAACGACTTGCCAGAGAAACTCAGAACACCTGAATAAACGGCGTGGTTCTCGGAAAAGGCCATCATCATAGGGAGAAGTTCTATGGCTGATACAAGAAAACAAAAACATGAGGTGGCGCCATATCACCGCCGAGGCATTCTTCTCGTAGGCCTCGTCATACCTAGCAGGTCCTCAGCATGCCTGCTCCAAGCACCACCATTTGCTCTGCAGAACACCGGCAATTCTGACTGGGGCACATTGCTCGCGGGGGCTGACTTCTTTGGTGGCTGCGCTGGGGCGATGCGAGACGAAGTAGCAGGCTCAAATTGAACCAGTGTTTGAGGCGGCAACCCGGCCGCATCTTGTTTTCTTGCGGCTTTCCTACCTCTAGTCGCAGGGTTCACAATGCGCGGTCGTTGCTTTTCTTCTTGTTCTTTTCCGTCGGTTGGTGGTCTTGCTGCTTCAAGCCTTTTTCCACTTGTTGGAGGGGCGGGAGTTTCAGGGTTATTCTCTTTCGTCAAGGGCTGTACTGTTTCTGGTTCTTTTTCACTTGTCGTAGGCTGTACTTCTTTGGATTCCTTTTCTTTGGTTGAGGGTTCTTGTACTTTAGGTCCTCTCAAACCTGTTTCGGATGCGCTGGCTTCCTGTTTTTGCACCTTCGTTGTTGGATGAACTCTTTCAGGCTGTTTTGCGTTCATCGAGGGTTGTACTGTTTCGGTTGCCCTCTCTTTTTCTTGCGATGGAGGTTCTGCTGCTTCATATGCTTTGCTATGCGCGGACTGCTGTATTGTTTCTGGTTTTTTCCCAGTCGTGGAAGGCCCAATTGCTCCAGGTTCTTCTTCCTTTATTGAGGGTTGTTCTACCTCAGGCGGTTTCCCATTCGTTTGTGGTTGTTCCGCTTCAAGTCCGTCGCTGACAGACTTCTTGTTTCCTGGTGCCTTTGGTGCGTCGCGAGCTTTGCCTGGAGGCTTCTCACCTACTCTAGGGTCGTTACTTGGCTTTTTGGCTTCTACCGGCCCAGCATGGCCGATATTGAAACCAGCTATTGGAAAATCTTCATCGGGCATAACAAATCCAATAATTTCTCTGCTCTTGACGCTTTTCCGTGACATCTTGGTGATACGCGGGCCGGAACTGGGCTTGGGTTCAGGTTTTCGACCAGCTTTCAACGCGGCAGGCAAGCCTTCTTCTTCATCGTCGGATATTGGTGGAGAATCGAATGCTGAGGTTTCCCCCTCGTTGTCGCTGAACACGACTGGGGCTGCCCTCTTTCGCGTGTGCCGACTTGGGTTTGTGCGTCGGCGAGGAGGTGTCGGGGATCTCCTATCCTCAGAAAGCTCGCTGACTGGAACTGCATCGTCGCTCGGTACAACTTCGACCTCTGGCTCTTCCAAGGCCTCAGATTCATTATTTAAGTCCTTCTCACGGACCGCCTCTTCTGTATTCGGGTTACGGATCTCGATCGGTTGGTCATCAGGCTCCTCCAGAGAACGTTGGCGCTCGCTTGCTTCAGCTGAGACTTGTTGCATGGGTACCTTTTTTGAAGCGGCTGTCTCTGTCGAGATTCTCTGGGCAGCCTGGGGTTCTTCGAAAATCGAGGCAGCACGAGCGACAGTATGCGATGTGTTGTGTGTATCGCTTCCAGCTACTGATGAGAAGGGAACTGATCTTCCTGCTAATGTTGACCGGCTAACTTGTTTGCTTTGGGCTATCATGAGCAGCCCGCGCCGTTGTCTTGATCTGATCCTGAGCTCTGTCCGCGGTTCCTTCGCAGGAGGAGGTTTGTCCGTATCGGATTCTGTTGCGGCTGCGCTATCGGTACTCAATGTTCGTTTCGTGCCATGAGGTTCCGCGGTGCTCGTCTCTTTTCTTTTGATCGTTTCTGAGGCAGCACTCTCAGGGCGGATTCGGGAGGTCTTTGGATGCGGTAGTGCCTCCACATCCTCGTCTTCATCTTCATCGACAACAATTGGTTCTTGGGCGACCTTCCGAGTAGACTCCTTTGCAGGCCTTTGGATTGCTGGAACAGGATCACCCTTTGCCTTCTTCGGGCGTGGTGGGCGGTTGTCCATTGGTGGCGCTGGTGCTTGAGCCATGGCTGGAGAATCCTCACTTTGCGCCAACCAATTGAGAAATGCTTCGTCGTCGGTTTCTGGTGATTCTTCATCGCCTTTATCAGAATCAACTGTTTCTGACGTTTTGGGCGCAGATGTTCGGGATTTGGATGGTTTGTCTGCATTGGATTCCTGATGTCCTCGAGCGTTGCGGGGGCTATTCGCGGCGGCATCACGACGAGGTTTTGATGATACGGGCTCTTGGGTAAGAAGTGAAACAACTTCATCCTCAGGTGGTTGCTGGGGTCTCGCTTGTTTCGATGCTTTCGAACGACTCTTTGGCAGAGTATCTCGCGTCCGAGGAAGTTCGCTGGTCCGACTGTGCTCATTACCTGCCAGTAGCTCCTTTAACGATGCCCGCTGTGTAAAAACCCGGCGGGGTGCAGTCTGACGAAGAGCGCTGGTCTCCATCTCCTCAGTATTAGAAGAAGGCGGTGGTGATTTTGAGCCCCTATCAGCGCGTCTTGATGCGTGGGATGTGCTATCTCGTGTGACAGCTGATGCAACTTTTGGTCTTGCAGCAGCCCTGTCATGTAATGGTAGACTTCGAGCTGACGGTATTGAAGACGAAAACGGGGTCAGAGTCAAAGCAGTTCCAAATAGAGCCCGAGCGTGCCCCATCTTGCTTGGAGGCGATTCCTCCCGTCTTCTCCTCTTGCTCGGCCGCGCATCTTCTGACGGTGAATCCTGCTGCTGACCAGGACTCTCGGCCATCTTGCGCTGTTCATATGGCGAGTGAGGAGAAATGACAGCCCTCCCAATTCTCAAAGTTCCTCCAACAATATCATTAAGCGGGCGGTGTCTGAGCTGAAAATGAGGGGCATTTTGGTCGTTTCTTGGTGTTTGAGTAACTGCTGCGGTCGACCCTGGTGTTCGTGTCGTTCCAGCATTTGTCCGCCGCTTCTCAACTTCCTTTGCGCGCTTGTCCAGCAACTCCGTCAGATCCTGTTCTCGTTGTCCAGTACAGTCCGAAACTTGGACGATAGCAGCACCACGATCCAGCTCAAACTCATCACCAGGCTCAAGGTCCCCGCCTCCTTGCCAGTGTGCATCCCCGATGAAATGATTCCGGTCGTCGTAGACCATGACACGCTTATTGAACGTGTGATATTTTAGCACTCCATCTTGCCACCTTTTTTGTTTTCTCTTCAGATCGTGCGTAAAAAGACAAATGAAATCCACCACAAGGGCAGTCGTCGGTACTGAGGAAGAAGTCATCCTTGGTGAAAAGCTAGGTATGACCTCTCGAGCTCACAGAACAAGGCCTTATTCAGCATTTCGAAAAACATCAAGGTCGCTCGAATATGCTACAGCACAGGAAAAACCGGGTTTCACTAACACGAGGTGTACAAGGCGGAACGCGTAGAGTTAAATTGAATTGACTCGAATAGCAGGCAAACGCGACGCCAGATCACGTGCACATTCGCCCCACAGCTCTTGCTGCCTGGAGTTCCGCCTACCCTGTGCACTCTGATTCAGTTACAGGCAGCACCATTGGTACCTTGGAAATGGGTAGATCGTGTGCATCCAGCGCAAATCGGCATTGTGCCTTAATCTCACGGCCATTGATCTTGGCAGAAGCAAAAGTAATTTGTATGATATATTCAAAATTCTATGTCTTTGCTCTGCTTCTTTGTCATCCATTTCTCAGACCTTTGCAAGCTAAAGTAATACGAGATAGAGCTTATAAGTTAGGTTTGATAATATATAGATATAACGGAGCTGGCGTGGAAGGGAAATACACTGACGGGAACAAGGTCTTCAATGGTACTGCCTAAACCATTGCCTAGTCCTACCGACTTACATGACTGCTGCATCAAAAACTACTATACCATCTCCTCGGTCAAGGATCACTTCGGTATCACGGAACGTAGCATATACTTATCTGCGGAAATGAGTGGCCTAGCGGTCACCATTTAGTCCTTACAAATGAAATGTATTCTATGGGTATCATGCCTCAACACGTACGGTATCAAATTGTACCAGATGCAGCTAAATAACACGCTGAATGCCACCTAGGAGGAATATCAGGCCACTGATGGGCTCCTCTCCAACCAACGCCCTTTGTCGAATGAAAATAACAAGTCCAGCCAGTTTCAATGCAAGAACCATGCCCAATCTGTATGCATATGCCACTCTATCTCAAGATCCCAACACAATAACTGGTAAGAGACAGAAATTTGTCAAATGGCGCCATAGTTTAGCGACTGATGTAGTCGCCAGCTCCAATGGCTTCGAGGTCCATGGGGGTGACAGGGCCAGGACTTCCCATAGGAAGAAGTCTGGGTGATAAGGGCTTCTGACAGCCGGGAGTAGCAAAGCGAGAGTCCCGGAGAGGAAGGTCATTGAGTGACAAACCAGGCTTATCGCCAGATTTGGCCGAGCTGCTAATAAGCTCATTTGCAGCCATACTCGCTTGTGCAATCATATCGCGTTGATACTGTTGTAACTTACGACGAAGCTCGCTCTCGGGGTTCGACTGGGAATTTGCACGAGGAATTGCATTGGAATCGGCTCCAATGTTGGACGACACGCTTCCAGACAAGGGAGGTCGTAGATTTGATTGAGCGCCATTTCTACTTTCGTAGTTGGATGGGTAGTATTTGCCCATAGGAACAGGGTGGTCATGGAAGCCTGGAGCAAGGTAGGAAGCGACGGGAGTGTTTGAGTGAGACATGACTGCACTTTGGGCTGGATGAGAAGTGGGAGAGTCCGCGTAGATTGGTCCCGATTCAGAGATGAGACGGCTCATGCGAGTGTCCGGATGATGTTGGAAAGGGTGTGGTCGATGGACACGACTGTTAGGATCCTCGTGGAGTGGAAAGTAACCTCTGCAACGGTGTTAGTCCACGCGGAAAGATCAATGGAATGAATTGAGATAACATGGCATGTCTTACCCAGGAAGGTCACCTCTTGCAGATAAGGGCTCGGGAGGCGTGCGTGCGGGAGCGGAAGTGAAACGCTTGAGTTGAGGTAGATCGATAGCTATAGGTCGAACGTGGCTGCGGCTGCGCGGGGTTGAGGGAGCTGATGGAGTGCCAGGAGCAGACTTCTCGTTGTCGTCTAAGAGGGGACATGTAAGTAAAAAAAGGGCTTTTGAGAAGAGAATAAGGTTTACGATGACCGAATGCGTAGTGACGAGGGTCGATGACAACAAGATCGAAAACAGGATAATTGAGGAATAGCACAGGATATAAGAACATTTTCAAGCAAAAGCCGGTAGTGCAGTCCAGTTCAGTGCAGGCGTCACTCAACGGCCAACCCCGGGAGGATAGTCGATGGGGGCCGCTAGACTACCCCGCGATGGCTGGGAAGTGAGTGTGGGGGGAGACATCAGTAGCGCGATAAAGCATGGCCATATCCCCGTACAAGAGACATTTTGACTCGGAAATGATTGAGAAGAGGTGGAGAAAGGGCAGATGATTTGAGGGGAAAAGGAAAAGATGAGCGAAATAAAGTGAGGAGAATTGTGGGAATGGGGAGCGTGACAAGTCAACTGAAGAGCAACGACTCAAGATTGATCTGATGGTTGAAGATGGAGAAGCTTGAGAAGCCAATATGGCATTCTCGAAAACGGGGGGGGGGGGGGGGGTGCGGGAGCCTCCCGAGACCTCAATCCCGCCCGGCGCGCTTTGCGCCAGTCAATCGCCGGATGAATCATTGGTTAATATGCTCCAATAACTAACTTGAGTAGCGTTGATAGGCATAACTATTGATGCATTGCGCCGTGGGACAGGGACAGCAGCGTGGAGGCGGCTGTTACATGATTCGACCTCCTCAGCACAAACACCCCTTTCTTTACACAGCATCGCATCCATTCGTTGTACATACTTTTTGGTGGTGTACAACTAGATTTTATGCCATGTGTCAGGGTCTCTTGGGTTCGTTGAGGGGAACTTGTGGCGCCGAACCAAGTCTGAGAAAGAGAACGTGTCTGGCCTCGGAGGTTTTTGCACGATGCGATGCCAGCTGCCGGGTTGAGCACCGCCCGTCTCCGTCCGGGATCATCGGCCGGAGGATAGCCCCGACGTCCGGCCGCAAAGAGGTTGAGATCACTCATTTGAGGCCAGGTGATGGAAGATCATCAGAGGAAGGTGGGGATGGATGGGCAATCAGGGGTCAAACGACTGGATATTGGATATGCATTCCAAGCATTCCGTACAATGTCAATGCTAAGGTAGCTTACCTGAAAAGTAGGAAGTGCGAGAACCAACGTCGTCAAGGTCAAAGAATCCGTCTCGTGGTTGGTTTTGTCTTGAGGATGGAATCGCTGGGGTGTTTCGTCCAGATAGGTCAAATTCGCCAATAATTTCCTCGGATCGTGGGCTTTCAGGAGAGTTGGAATGGTCGGAATTCGCAGACATGGAACGCCCCGACATGGAAGGTCGCAGTCGAGGCGATAAGTAAGGAGATTTGATGGTTCTGGCAAAACTGGCCATATCGTCGTTGCAGTCGTGATTCAATGTCTGAGGTTTGAGTCTTTGGTCTTTTGGAGAATAAGCATTCGCCTGACTGAGAACCCAGCCCGAGTCTTGAATCAGGCGCCAACGTCGCTGCATAAGTATATATGAAGGGTTGAGAGGAACCAGAAGATCGAGTGGACAGGAATGAATGCTCAGGGTCGCGCTCACGGGGAGGGTCGCGGCAGTCGGGGAGGTTTGATGATAAACAGTGAGGGGCAGGCAGGTCGGTGTCGCAAATGACGGGCGGCCAAGAGAGATAATAAGAGTACAATAGAGTGACTTTATGAATGTATTGGACGGAATGCCACGGAGGATGGATAAAGGAAGAGAGGCGAATAATAGCGGTAACTCAAGAATGTGATGGCGGCGTCAAGATGTAAAAGGCAAACACGCAACACAACACACAACGCTGCACTGCAGTGTAGTATGTAAGCAAGCACAGCAGTACAGTACAGTGAGTAAGATGAGTGAAGTGTATGCCTATTTGGGCGAGAAATGAAGGGTTCCCTAAGAAATGAAGATCGAAGGGTTCCGAAACGGTTTTGTTATCGCAAGCGAGACACACTCGCTAGACACACTCTTCCATGGATGTCAGAATTGATCTTGGCTCTCCCGTTCCATCCTGGTTCCTTCCAGCGCCTCCCAACCACCAAAAAGTGGAATTCTAGACTCTCGTAACAAATCAGGTCCGGAGTTTGTCAAACGAGGAACATCGGGACGAGAGCCCAAGATCCAGGGCAAGGCGAAGTTTAGTGGATCACTTCCACTTCATACGGTGACCTCTGCAGCGGGTTTCCCAATGTTTCCGATGTTGGAACCCGCTTAAAGGTACCCATTTTGGAAACGCGACATGCAACCACGAGTTTGGCAGGTATCCCGCTAGGACTTTTGAGGCACATTCTGTTAGGGTGACCCTTGATTTGTACCTGGTTGCATGCGCCGTATCCGTACAGAACGCCAAGGAAATACATGCGGGACGACCCCTGTGAGCCGCTCAAAGCCACCAACGCAAACAAAGAAACCAAGCACACAGGTTTATTTTGTTGTGACATCCACAGCGAGAGTCAGATGAAAAGCGACGATACCTTGTTAGAGACGAATTAGAACTCGCGGTCAAACGTCCGACTGACGAATTAGTCCCTGAGATTTGCTGTAGGGACCCTTTGAAAACCCCCTCCCTCCTTGGTTTGTATTTGATCAATGACGCCGTTTGAGACGGTGCATTCAGCCGACTCCGCGAATATTTTGATTTCCAAGTCTTGGAAGACTAGGGCACCAAAGAGTCACAGTCACGCTTTGTGGAGAGACAATTTTGCATGTACTATAGGTATTATGTACTGTTACGTGCAAGGTCAGTTCTTAGGTGGATAAAATGTGATCAATATTATATTCGGGAACTTATGATCGCATTTGCTAACAATTACCATTATGGGTATTCGCAATCTTAGACCCTCGTATCACTACAACTTGCTCACAACCACCATGAACCAGAAAAAGATGGTATCAATGAGACATTTGCGCATTTGACCGCTCGTATCGAATGTCAACTGTCGTGGTTTATTCCCACCTACTGTCCTTATCGCTTAACTTACCGCCTCTACAGGATACGATCAACACTCGCATCACCATCAAAGCTGCCCAACATCTCCGCCGGTATCAACAAAGAATACAAGAGATCAACAGATCCTTGCACCGAAAACAAACGGGCTTTTAGAAGCGGCCCCCACTTGAAGCTTCCATCAGGCATCTGATCGACGTCATGGCAAGAGAGTAGCTTGGCTTGGCCCGCTCACAAGCGCCGCTTGGTCTCGCCCGTGAGTCGAAAATCCTCATCCCTTCAGGGTCAGGGTCGAGACACAAAGGTCAGAGCGGTAGACGCAGCCAGTCAAAAGCCGGACCCTTGAAAAAGGAAAAAGACCCCTTCTCCCTCTGAGAAAAATCCGTCATCGTCACATCACCCCTCAGAAGCGTTGGAGGCGAACCTGTCCACGATCGACGATCGACGCTCGCCCCTCTTTACTCTCTCTCTCTTTTCTACTTTTGGTCCTGGTCTCTTTGGTGCAACATCCTTCGCTGTGGTGGTGCCATATCGACGTTCTTCAGGGTACTAAGGAAAAGGTATCTCGGATATCACTCTGTCTTGGCGTAAACGGTGGTTCGGCAAGCTGCACTTTCTTGGCTTGTGCTGCCAATGCCAATGTCGGTGGTGATTTCACAGCATAAATCCTACAGTGACTGTCCGTTGACTGTCCATTGGTTAAGCAAGTTTCACTCATGCCGGCGGCCATTGGTAGATCTAGCCACCCATCTCACAAACGATGTTGCACGCCGTACGGGAGGCTGCCGTAGATGGTTGCACTAATAAGTGTGATATTCTCGATTCAGTTGATAGTGATAAATTTTGAGTTCAGTGCAGATATTAGTGTTTCAGGAACAAGCAGTCTTTGTCGAAAAAGGAAAAGGAAGGAAACACAGAAGAAAATAATGGTATCAAAGTCGTGCCAACATCCATCTCATCTCATCCATTCTCATCCCAGCACACACGCACACAAACAGCCCGACCTGCAGGCCTCCCTCCCATTACCGTTCCATTACCATTGCCGAATATCTCCGTCGTGAGTTGCATTTGTGTATCCCCCTATGCAACCATCCTCAATATGTCCGTCTCTGTCTGAGGGGGTTTGATGCACCCGTTTGTGCTTGATCAGACATGAGCGCGGCCAGTAAAGCGGGATCGAGTGTCACGGTGCTTCCACCAGTAGCCCAAGGCCGCCAAGGTAGCAATGAGCCAGAGGAGGGCGCTGGCGAGATCAACCCAGACCGCGTTCTTCATGCGTCTGACACCACCGTCACCCTCGGCGTCCTCATTGATGTACATCTGCAGGTTTCACAGGTCAGCCAAACGATGCCGTCGACCGTTTGCAGTAAGCACTGATAACGCACCTTGCCAAAGACGCCGAAGAGGGCGATCCAGAGGACAAACAGAATAAAGTCCCATATCGCGACAACAAAGCCGGCGACGCGCAGTACAAACGGGATAAAGTAGAGTACACACGTCACGGCAGAGATGCTACCAACGACCACGGCGTAGACCTGTGCATTGAACTTTTGTAAGCACTGTATTGTAACAATGTGCATTTGCACATTGACGAACGGAGGGAGTCACCCACCCACTTAGAATCAGAGTATTTGCCCTGCTTGTTCGCATTATGAAGGTCGGTACCATACAAACCGATAGTGGTCAGAGCCAGTGCGAATAGGAAGAAGTGGATGGTGGAAAACACCACATAGCTAATAGCTAGATCCTTGATACCCATGGTCGCTTAGATATTACGAGAAAAGATTGACGGGATGAGGTTATCGTCGGTCGAAGCGGGTCAGTGATTAATTGACCGCAGGCGCAGGCGCAGGCGCAAAAGAAGGAGGATCGCGGGTTTATTAGGATGAGTCAAAAAATGAGCTGGTCACTGAAGCGTCACTTTGACTGGGCGTACAAAATTGTCAACCTTGGCAAGATATCATAGGGTAGACCGCCAGTTAATTAATAGCGTAGCGAAGGGGAAGCCTCTGCCGTCATTCCTGCGACCTAAGAAGCGAGATCGACCTAAAACTTAACAGAATTTAATTTCACCCTTGGAAATTGTCGTGAATCACTGATATGACCGATGACGTAGTTTAGAGCAAGCTTGTTTTAGTCGATGCATGACCTGACATCTAGACCCTGAGTCTCTGTTCTAGAGGCCTCGGATTATCCAACTTCCGTTCTTTAGAGGCCGCCTTGTGATCGATCCCTTCAAGAGAAAGTCATCCAGAGCTGAAAATTATTAGCGGGTGAGTTGTTAAAGTTTATCAGTTTAGCAGGTAATTTACAACCTTGAGTTTGAGTCTTTTCAAAGTTCAACGTCAACAGTCCCAACAGTTCTTATCTTACATCACTATCACGACCGCCCTACAGTATTTTCGCCCCGAAACAAAAACGGAATTCGGTCTGGGGGTTCAGGAATGTGCATCGTTGAAAATGCAAATGTTTTAGATCAGGTGGTCTCGAGAAACTAGTGCTGATAAAAGAAGAGTTCTCGAAGTTTGAGGTCATCCATCATATTGAGGCTTACCAAGTTAGTCAGCGAATTTAATGGCGCGCATGACAATTTCAAGCGTGACTTTTGAGATTCACATATTGAGACAAGTGGGAAATTAACTCGAGTTGAAAATCACATGTTCGTAAGAATGGCATGTGAGTAGACTAAGCTAATATCCATGAGAAGCCCAATGTTGTTGATGCGGTTTTTGGAAGTCGGTGAGAATACGAGGGACGAAAGTGTGAGGTTGATTGGATAAGCTCCAACCGTCTCACTCATGACAAGCACGTCTCCACTGTTGGCGAGGATAAACATCGCTGCCTGAGTCAATCGAATAAGCTTATAGTTTACGAGGCTATGCTAATTTACTGGTACATTGTTTCCTGATCATGAGCTTAATGTGATCGTGTGAAAGCGCTGTTTGAGAATAGGGTAGGCTTGCTTCACCCAAAACCCCGGGTTCATCAAGGAACATGTGTAGCATCATCAATCTTGGCTGCAGATGCCTCAAGTAATACGGCGTTTCCGGTAAACGCTAAACCCAATAACGAGGATCAGAACACCAGAATTGCGGGACAAGATACGACGTTGAAATGCTCATATTGGCATTGCCATTATTCCCCCGACTCTCGCTTCTGAGTACTTAGAGGCTAATAAACTCATGCCGAAAACAGTGATCAATTGGATATCATTGGCTAGAAAGCCACATGGTTTGGCAGGGAACTGGAGGGGGCTGTGTTTGTTTCAATTGACTCAGCCTGCCAACCAAATTGCTGAGTCACATGAGATTTTGAGCCGCATCCCACAGAGCCTCATGTTTGAATTGAGGGAACGGTTCCTCTGTAGGGTCTATGAATACGAGGCGAGTTAGGATGATAGAATGAATCAAATGCCGTATTATTCCCTATAGTTTTGCCTAGCTGTAACTGCATGCTGTTGAGGCACAGTCTAGTTTCCAGCATCGCCTCGCATACGAGACGAGACTCGATGCTAAACAAGACTCCTGGCTGATTCAAAGTAGCTGCCTTGGTCGAACAAACAAACCAAGCGTTTCGAATTTGCGAAGAACAACGAGCCTAAACCTTCCAGAAACAGGGCTATGCTCAATCGCCCTGCAGTAGTTCCCTGAGGCATCCCCCTTTCATCCTGTCCCCTTCGCTCCATAGCCAAACAACGACTATTGCAAACTTGCTTCGTATTCCCACTAACAAGATGGAAACACTCTTTCAAGCAGATAATCATCGCAGCTATAGTATCAAACGTGGCACTGCTATCGCCTCGAACTTTAATCCCTGGTATTCACTGACTTGGACTTCATCTCGTGTGATTTGTGCCAACTAACAATGGACTTGTTGCTGAATGGAACTCGTAACTTACAGACCTTCCGATCATGTACGCCTTGCATTGAATTGTCCATATCTTTCTATATAACCATAGCATCTGCATATGTCTGATCATGATACCAACACAGTTCCTCACTCACCAACACTCACCAACACTCTAACACATCTTGTGTCTACGGATTACAACACTCCACCTCAAAGACTTAACTCTACTACTAAATCAACCCAACAATACCATCAACCATGGCTTGCGCTAACTTGTAAGTCGAAAACATCCGCTATTATTACCTACATAAATAGTGTCTAACCATTTCCAGCGCTTCTACTGCCTGCTCTGCTGGTAACCGTGGGCAACTCGTCGACGCCGTATCTCAGTGGCAATGTGTATGTGATCAACAAACCAAAATTGAAAATGTTCGAGACGATACTGACTTCTACAGTGCAACTGCAACCACGGCTGGCAGAATCTCGAGCTTGACGCTTCTTGCCCTGCTTGTCAGGTCCCTCGCTGCGGGCGCTGTATCTACTGTTAAGATGTGACACGCCCGACTCAGTTCGATTTTGACACTGAGGTTTTATCTTTCTCTTGCAGACTGGTTCAGCTTGTATTAGTAGGAGATGTGGATGGCCTAGATCTTTGGAGTTGGAGGACGTTTGTCTTGGGCTTTTTGCTTAAAATACCTGGTCTTTCGAAAACTTAGAAGGGGGGCTCGCGCTTGCTTTGCTTTGTTTGGCTTATTTATCTTAAAATCCAACTATTTACGCTCTTTAACATCATGGCCTTCGAAGTGACTGTTTATTGCTAGCCTACCAGTGCTAAGTCTTGTGATTGTGGACATTGACAAACTTGGAACTTACAAGATGAGACAAAACTTTAGTCTAACTCTACATATCTAAACAACAAATGAATCATTTTCAACACAAATATCATTTTAAAGGGGAGAGGCTCTAAATTTGGCTCTGACTTATACCCGTCTCTGGACCGAGGCATGACTGATGACGCCCCACCTCCAACCAACATTAATCGCCATATATTACTCTCTTGACAAGGCCTCTACAATAATAACTCTACCTGTAATAGATCTAAGGTAGACACTATATCGCACTATCTAACTTCTCTACTGCGTTTGAGTCATGGCAAACCTCGGCCCTCCTTTCCATGCCATCGCCGGCCTCCCGAACTTCCGAGATCTCGGAGGCCATCCGCTGCCTATTAAGTCCCGCCCCGGATACACAATCAGATCCGGCCTCATCTTCCGTTCAGCGGAACCATCCCGTCTCACCGAAGACGGCGTCTCAGCGCTACAGGACCTCAAGATCTCACACGTCTACGACTTGCGCTCGCGAACTGAGATCGAGCGCTACGCTACAGGAACCCGAGAGTGGCCCGGTGCCCAACGGGTCTTCACTCCGGTCTTTCTAGACGAGGATTACGGCCCGGAGGCTATTGCGTTGCGCTTTCGGAATTATACTGCCGAGGGTAGTCAGGGATTTGTTGAAGCTTATCGGGGAATCTGGGAGACGGGAACGGATTCTATCAACACTATTCTCTCACATCTTGCCAGACCGGATCCTTCACCCTTACTCATTCATTGCACCGCTGGCAAAGACAGGACTGGTGTAGTCTGCGCTTTCATCTTATCCATATGCGGTGTGGATGAAGGGACTATCGCTCACGAGTATGGCTTGACTGAGGTTGGCCTTGGTGACTTTAGAGAGGAGCTTCTTGCGGCTGTGATGAAGAGCCCCGAACTGAGAGCCAACCCTGAAGGTGCTCAACGATTGCTGGGAGCCAAACCCGAGAACATGCTTGCTGCTTTGGAAGCACTTCGTAAACAGCATGGCTCTGTCGAGGAGTATGTTGTCAAGAACTGCGGTCTGACAGAGGATGATCTTGAGCAGATTCGAAAGAACTTGATTGTCCCTGAGGAGAGCAGGCAATAGTCTCGATGAGATATGAATAAAGACTCATGTTTATGAGGAACATCAATGTCAATGGCACAAAGTTAGCAAGATTCATATAGAAGATCACATACAGAAATGCAAGCGCTGTTCATCATCTCTGGACGAGTATACAGTCCATGTCTAATTAATACATGGCGTTGGTATTCGTATAGTACAGTTGGCGCCACCCCATATCCCATATATATTCATACACTTCAAGGCACCGACGTAGGAATCTTGACCAACCCACGCTTGCGGTCCTCAAACGGCGCACCATACCGCCAACCCGTTCCTTTCCTCGACCGACCATCACGACCGACATCATCAACGTTAATCTCCTTAAAGCGGAACTCGTAGCGATCTGTCTTGACGCGCCTTGTTCGCTCCTCCTCGCGCTTACGCTCGTCTAGAATCTTCTTGGCTACTCTGTCCTCGTCTGCTTGTGTGACTGCCTTGAACTTGGCCAGTGCGTCTGGTCGTGCAGTGCCCTTGATGATGTCTCGCTCCATCTTGATGAGCTCGGGTTGAGGTGATCGTTGATCGGCGGAGAGCATCTTGTCATGGAAGGCCTTGGCGGCATCTTCTCTTGTGAAGTGTCGGGATTCTGACACGGGAGTGAATAGTTGTTGTAGGGTAAGGTTGTGTACGTGAATCTCGTTGATGGGCTCGTGAGGTACATTCTCCTCGCCTTCATTGTAATGTGTCTTGGGTAGCATCTTCATAACTGCCTTGGCGTATGGTGTTGCCAATTGCTTGCCCTTGAAGTTGGTTAGCATTGCTATCGAACAAGTAAAATGCAAGCCCAAATCAGATGATGCTATCAGAGTATATAAAAGTATAACCATGTATGTGTCTTCAAGACTAATCGAAAATTTTGTTTGGTCTCATCATATAGCAGGGCAGATAGAGCTTCGTTGGGATGGTACTTACTTCGGAAATCCATTGCTTCTCTACCTCCTTTAGTCGCACAACTGCAGCAACTCTCCTCACGTCGATGTGCATTTCAGCAGACACCGCCTTCAGAGACTCTCCCTTCGCCGTCACCTTATCATAGATGATCTCCCTCGTCGCATCAGAGAGCACAGGCTGACTTCGGAAGAGGGGGTTGAGAGGAAAAGGCTGATCATTGTGAGGACCCAGGTAATTAGGACCATTGCCAGGCTCGGCAAGATTCCTGCCAGTGCCGGAGCTCAGCCACTCGAACATCTTCGCACGACCCTTGCTCATCTTCTCGCGGCATGGTGTTGTCGAGAAGGTTCGGAGGAACGGAGTGGACGAGGCGGAGGTCCTCGTGGAGAGGGAAATGGTGGCATCTAGGCCAGCCAGCGGCGTCGATGCACCGCGCACTCGAGGAGGCATGGTTACAGCAGCTTCAGATTCTCTCTGACTCTCTGCTGCATTACATGCGACCCAGGACCAATTGATTAGAATTGGTTGGATGTCAGGTCGGAAAAAGGCTGCGCTTGTTTGGAGGTGTTTAATGTTGTTCCAAAGAGTGCAGTAATTTTCATCCACCGGAAGTTCTAATTATCCGGCATCACCAACCTCGCGATCCACCTAAGGACCCTCATGCTAATATTGTAGTGGGACAATGATAGAAGCTCTTGTCCAAGAGATGAGATGAGGAGTATTTGTATAATTGATTCTCAAGCCTTGGTACAATCTACGACTGGACTTACCTCGCTAACTGAAGCGTACTCGAGCTCATGGTTCACATTACCAGAAACATCAATATCGTGCTGCAGCTTCGAACTAAAGCTTGCGTCCTCTCGACATGTATTATTCAAGTCTTGTGGCATTATAAACATTGGTATACGTATGTACCTGTTACCTGCGTCATCATGCTTTGCAACCATTATACAAATCCCTTCTTACCCAGCTCCCAACAAACATCAAATGCCAAACATTAATCCTATGACGAAAACTATGGGTAGCAGATAGATCTCTGAGGCAACTCATGTTTGCTGTTGCCTCAGCGGGTGAATAATACCAATGACTCGTGTTTGGCTCGTCTCGAATTCTACCAGAATATTTGTTGTTTCCTGGCGTAGATTCTAATATCAAGACCAGCCCAGTTGCTGTAAGGCATGTATCTTCGTACATCCAACTGAAGCTATCAACCGGGCTTGGTCATCGAGAGTCGGTTCTTCTTTGATTTGGCCTTGGCTGCTGCGACTGCTGCCTTCTTAGCAGCGGCGGTCTCCTCGGCTTCTTGAGAAATCTCCTTCCACTTGCGCCAGCCGTCAAAGTCGATGAGGGCCTGCATGCAACCCCATTCCATTACCTTACGCTCTAGCCAGACAAAGTTGACGGGCTGTATCATGAGTTAGCTAAATATCTCTGCCCTGTCAGTGCGATTTACATACCTTGGTCAAAAAGTCGTTACAACCAGCGGCTAGAGCTTCGTGTCGGTCACTCTGCAAGGAGCTAGCGGTCAAAGCGACAATAATCACAGGACTCTTGAACAAGGAGGGATTCTGGAGGCGGTCTTTGTCGTCGAGTTCGTCAGGGTTTTCCGTCGTGACCACACCATCGGGAGATGATGAAAAGACACCAATTGAGTTAACTCGTTCTAATCTTCGAATCTCACGAGTCGCTTCGAGACCGTTCATGACTGGAAGTTGGATATCCATCAGAACCAAGTGAAATCCACCACTCCTCCACTTCTTTACAGCATCTCGTCCATTCATGGCGGTTGACCATCGCACCTTGAGGCGCTTCACAAAGGCTTCCAAGAGTTTCAAGTTGATGGGGTTATCTTCCACAATCAGGACATTGATAGGAGGCACGCCGCCATTGAGCATGCCCGGCGGTAAACTAGGATGTTCGGCCTTTTTATTCTTCTTGGTTTTCGCCGTAGGTCGAGGTGAAGTTGGCCTGACTGGAGGTGTCGATACACGGACTGCCGAAGGCTCGGGGGCAGGAGGTGTCGGTAGAGGAGGGGCAGCAGGCGGCATACCAGGTTGATCTGAAGAGTTTGAATGAGTTCGTGAATGTGGTAGCCTCGGGTTGAAGTGTTGCGTACCGTGGTTCGCATGATTCGCGGCGGCGGCGGCGGCCAGTGACACAGCAGAGCCGTTAGCAATCAGTGTTGGCGACGATGTGTGAGTACGGCCTAATCTGGGACGATCCGGACGATCGCGGTATGCGCGTGATCTACCAGGCGATGGAATAGGAGGAATATGGCCAGTCCCTAATACTGCGATTGAGTGCGGGGCCTGGGGATTAACATGCGCTGGAACCGCAACTGGAAGATGTGGTGAGCCGACAGCGCCAGGATGGGCGACGACCGAAGGAAAGTAGCCATCGCTTGTTTCTGTAGGCCGACCGTCCTCGCTGTAGTAGATGTTACCAACATATGCTGGAACGACGGGGCGTGGGGAAGCTTTGGGCGCACGTCTTGGAATGTCAATTACAAGAGCTTCTTCAACGGTTTGTCCACCTGGATAATAAGCATCGAGAGTCCGGCCCATGGGCTCCTCAGGGTTGAGAACACGTTCTGAATGTTGATCGCGAGGAATAATACGTATGTTAATGTCTGGAGAGTCGAAGCTTCGACCGAGTGAGTTTGAATATTTACGTAGAATCATATCGCGGACATCATCGACCAGGTCATCTTCGTTGACGGTAACGAGGGTCGGCGAGGCATGAGGTCGCTTGACCCAGATCTTTCGGGTCACCATATTTCCGTTAATAGGCGCGTATGTGCTGTTCTGACTGTATCCGGGTTCGTTTGCGGATGGGCTTGAAAGGAGCGTATTGATCAAGGTCGTCTGGCGATTCGACAGCAAGCTTTGCCGTCGGGGCGGCGGGGCTGGTCGTGACGGAGAGCCAGGGGTTCCAGCTTGTGGGAGACCAGGAGACGGTGCGACAAATGTCGTCGGGGTTGCTGCCGCCAGAGGCACAAAGGCGGCAGACTTTGGAGAGTTGGGAGCTTGGTCGAGACTCAACAGGTCGTCGTCATTGTGACCAGCAAGCTCAGAACCAGCGTCCAACTCGAGACTTGCGATCTTTCTTGGGCGCGCAGTAGGTGATGGGGGTTCTAAGTCCTGAGAGTCTTCGTGAATACGGTCGAGATTGGAGCTTGCCTGGCGCAGACGCGATGGTGAAGGCTGTTCAGAAGGATGAAGTGAGGGAGACAGCAACGGTGGTTGATTGAAGTGAAGTCGTGGATGAGGCTGTGGCGGGTGCAGATCGCTATGGGGCGGGAGCTGGTCGCTAGAGCTAGTGGCGGTTGTGTCAGGCTCTTCATCCAGGTCATCGAGGCTCTGCTGATCCATAGGCGGAGACGGAGACGGAGACGGCTGTTTCAGTGGTTCGCTCGTGGTGTCAGGCGCTGTGGAATTGTCGTTAGCGGGTGGGACCGCTGCTTCAGCACCTATTTCCAAGGAACTCTTGGCCGCTGACTCTGGATTTGAGTTTGAGTTTGAGTTTGCTGCTTCTGAAACCTCTCGAGAAACCCCAAGCTTTGCTAAATCATCGCCATCTTCGCGCTGTCGATGCGAATTATCAGGCGTCGCTGTCATACCACGTCGGCTACTATCTGTGCCCCTCGAATTGCTCACAGCCCGCTGAGACGAACGATCCCCGTCTCCATCACGAGCTCGATCACGATCGCGATCCCACAAGTGACGACTCCCGAACGACGACGAGGTGGTGTCCGTTATGCTCCGATTTGAAGATGCATGAGAACCCGCCGTCGAGTGTCGCCTTTTGGTGAACTTGGCTCGAAGGCGCGAGGCGATATCGGTAGCTCCCATTAGGTTGACATTGACATCCTATGTTGGCAGGACGCGACGGGGACGTGGAGTCGGAGTTTGAAGGTGAGGCGATATAACAGGGAGACTAAGACAACGTTCCGACTGTTCATGCACATTCGGTTAAGAAATAACCAAGACAAAAGAGACGAAAATTAAAAGATTGGATGAGTGAAGACAACAAAAATTGCAAGTGAATGGTCAGTACCGAGCTTCGCAATATTATCGACAAGCAAACAGGCAAAAGCTCTTCGAACAGGGTATCAACAAGCGAGGCCGATAAGGATTAAAAGGGGAATAAAGAACCTGACGATCCCAAGAATAAAGACCAGAATCAGGAAAGGAAGAGAAAAGGCCTGTCATGGATATCACGGAAGTAAAAAATAGTTTCCAAGGGGTAGATCCGCCGTTGCAGTGTCGATGGGATCCAGAGCTTCCCCCAGGATATCAAGCACAGGCAAGCAAGCTTGGTTTTGGGCGTGCTTTCGGGCCTCGTTACGATCGTGATTGCGCGCTCGTTTTTTGTACAGTGCAATTTTAAGCCGAGCCTGTATTGGCTCAAGCTGTGCAATGCACAGCTCATTGCACCCATTCGAGACGGTTACACCCATTCAAAAGCCACCCGAGCGTCTCCATCGACAGGGGTTATCCAGGTCAATTGGACTTATTTTCTGTTCAGACCATCGCTTCACCTGTCAAATATTGACAACAGGCTTCTGAAAGTCTTCTTTAAAGATGGGTCCCTGGTCCATTCAACGTTGGGGCTGATTTTTGAACTCTGTTGTCAGTCTGAATCTCTCATCAAGAGATTTACAGAGTCGAAAGCTGACGTCTTGAGATCATTCCATTTCTTGAGGTTGTGTCACATCTCACATGTAACAATGAATTCACATGCTGCAGTGCTGCTCATGCATTGCACCGTTTGTGCCCCGTGGCTTGATACCCCAGCTTCTCCTTCAATGAGGCCATTGGGAGCCGGAGCATGAACGAACTTTACGCGGCCCTCTTCCATGACATCGCCAGAACGTTCAAGCTTGGCAGCATATTCTTCCGGTTGGAGTATCTTCTTCTTGTTAAAGAATGACACCCAATCTGAAGATGTTGGTGATTGCAGCCATTTCAGCAATCATTTGCTTTAACGCATTAGACTCGGGTGAGAGCATAAAGCAAGAAAATGACAATAGCAGAAGAGGGGAAACGAGTATATGTTTTTGGCGACCAAATACGTAAGGTCTTGGTGTTTGTAACACGCCAACCTCAAATTTCGAGATCTTGTGGGGACCTTGACAGCTTTAGAAGCTGACATAATTGGTCGCGCATCAATTCGCCATCAGCATACACCAACCCTTCTGTCGATCAATCATTAATAACTTACAACATTTCTTACCACGTAACAAGAGCACAGCTGTTCAGCCCAATACATTATTATGGCACCCATAAAACCTCTGGGCGAGCAACCAGACAGGCCCGTCCCTCGCGTACCCAAATCTCCATCTTGGACTGCACAAATTCAGGCGCAGAACCGACGACGAGAGTACCTTAGTCGGCATCCGTCATACTTTGATAACCTGGAGCACGAGCTCGCTGGTAAAGCCGTACTACTCGATCATCCCCAGCTCCCAACCTAACTTTGCGCCTAGATCCCGTGCTGTACGAGCGGCTAGTGAAGAGGTTCCAGTCAGCCTCGGAGCGTGAAGCCGAGGGCAAAGCAAAAGG